ATCAAAAAAAAAAAATTCCTAAAATGTTTTGCCGGGTCTTAAGAAGTTAATGAGTTCACACGTAATGTAAAGACTGTGTAATTCATACTGGAAGCCGGAGGACGCTCTTGCACAGAAACTCCACATATCCATAACAGAAGAAATACTACTGACGACGCTCCAAGAAGGTATCCACTTAATATCGCTGGATAAAACGCACAATGGGGATAGAGACATTTTAACTGATGAAACTTGAGGAAAATAAACATACTACTGCACAAAATATATGGTTTATCTGTGTTCTTCAATCTTGGGTATTTTTATAAGTACAGTATATTTATAATGCAATGTTAATCGACATGGCCTTTATCACTGTATATAATATCATTCTGTAATATGAAACCACGTCTGGTCACAAAAAGAAGTATTTCAAACACTCGACTATATTATTAAGTTAATTTGGAGAATTTTTTTTTTCTATTTTGAGCTGGGGGGGGGTTACGTGACAAGAGTGATGCGGGAAGACTGACACTATATGATGGCGGATCCAAAGCGCAGCTTTTGTTAATAAAACTTTCATTTATTCGTTTAATAGCCTATAAGTGAGTGTCTTTGTTGCTGGGTTTTCATTAAAAAAATAACAATGAACCACAAACTAAGCATTCGTTTTAAAGAAGGGAAAATACCGTATTTAATTGGGTTACAACGGCTATATCCATCTTATTCATTTTGTCAATGCAAGGTAGATGTTTAATATATGCGAATTTGCCATTATACTATTTTATGGCTGATGTGTTTTAATTATTAAGATAATAAACCACAAACTACGAACGTTTTAAGGTAGTCTGAGGGGAAATCCATAGGCTATTTATTTGTCTTTAATATTTGCAGCACGAAATAAACATGAATATGTGAATGCATGTTGAAAAAAATCAGAACAACTGAATACAAACGAATGTCTCATGAATCGATCAATCAGAGTTTTAAAAAAAGTCAAAAGAATGACGAATGCCACAGACACAGAGTAGGCCTATGGGTGGAATTTTCACATTATGTAACATGATTTTATTATCTTAATTTTAACTTTATTCTTAAAATATTATGACATTACTTTTATTTATTTAGTTATTTTTAAACATGGCACAAAAATGCTGCCATATAGGCTACTGAATGCAAACACAATTTTGGCACATCAGCCCAAAAAACTAACAAAAAAATTATATTAAAATAAAAAACAAACAAAAAAAGTCAAAAATAGTGAGGGGATATTTGAATTATTTGCTAATAAACTAATGTTTTCTGAGTCAATGTTGACTATCCATCCTCATTGAATGTGCCTTTAGAGAGAAATGCATCTTTAGGGATTACATAATGAAAGAGTTTTTGTTTTCGATTAGAATTATTTCGTTTTAAAATAGTAATTTAAAGCATTCTATAGATATATTTATCATGTCGGTGAAGCGCTCCTGCTCAAGACCAAGACGACAGAAAGCGCAACCTGTTTGTTTTCCTTATTTTACAAAAGCACAAGGTTTTGTTGATATTGTGAGTGCACACAAATACAAGTAGACCCTTTGCCGTTCCGAATGATGTATACTTATTACCTTTATGAGCAAAAATGACGGCGTATTTTTAAGTTTCCGCTGTTCTTAAAAAAATGCAAGTGATCGCGCTGGCGCCTCCATGTCCTGCAGCGCGCTACAGCTTCCACTCTCCGCACAAACGATTGGATTTGCGCCTAACAGCGCTCATTTATCTTGGTTAAATGTTTAAATGTATATATGTTTTAGTTAGTTATATGTTAGATATAGTTTCATTTTATTAAATCCCTTATATTCACAACGGATTGTTTCTGTTTACTGTTCACAGTTCCAAGTCAATGAATGTTTGAACCTTTGCTACATTTGGCTAAGAATTACTGCTAGCACTGTACAAAGAAGGACAGTTTATTGTTCCGTGGCCAGAAAATAAATATTCCTTGAATTGATAAATGATTATATTGTCTGCTCGGTGGACGGACAGATCAAATAATTGTAATATTGATTCTGCTACAGTTAATTCGAAGATATAATCTAAATATTTATTATGAATCATAACCATTTATGATTCGTCATAAATATTCCCCTTTTTAGAGCTAATAAATAATAATAAACGTTACAAGCTGTTGGACAAGGGCCGGGCCCATGCAGGGCTCTATTCGTCCCCTTGTTGCCCCCAGCTCGGCAGGCCCCCAAACTGCCCGGGACCATATGCACCTGCATACACTGCATAACCAGACGCTACGCCACTGATCTTATTTGTTCTTATCTGTTCATAAAGGCCCCCAAACTGCCCGGGACCATATGCACCTGCATACACTGCATAACCAGACGCTACGCCACTGATCTTATTTGTTCTTATCTGTTCATAAAACTTTTATGTTTAATATAAGCGTCTTTGTCATTGTAGCATTGTTGATGTTGTGAGTGTGTGTTTTTCATTAAGAGTAATATTGAATCAACCTTAAGAATGAATTTTGTTTCAAGAATAGGAAAGACCTAACGTTAAAGATCAGAATAAGAACTGCTGCAGCCCCCCCAGCACCCCTACTTCCCGCGGTAGTGTGCTTATGATAGAACCACTCGGTCATGAAATCTTACCTATATGTAATCTTACCATGTTTAGTAACGTCTCGGTTACGTATGTAACCCTCGTTCCCTGAAGGAGGGAACGGAGATGCCAATGTGCATTGGCTCGTTTAGTTTACACTCAAAGTAGATTGGTCCCTCTATGCGAGATCCCAATTTTGTCGGTCCTCCGACGTGACGTCGAGAGTGACCGACTGAAAGGGAACTATGAATTCGTCTTCTGATGATCTAAACGAGTGTATATTATATGTTGGTACATAGGCAATATATTAGTGTTCTGAGAATCTTTAGTAATTTTGCATCAACACCCAATCGAGTTCCATATGCAAATTACCATGCTCTCAGACAAAGGGTCATAAAATTCCCCAGTATTTCCAACCTCCCGGTTGGAATTACAGCCTTTCTCATTGGACAAGCCCATCCTGAGAGGCGTGAATCTTCTCAGACTTTAAAGGGCTCACGCACAGTTCCGCCCAGGTCTTCTTCTGCTAGGTCTTTGGCTAAATCTTCTGATTGCAGCCCCTGTGGAGAGCCTGAGCCATTGCAGGCGTGCCCAGTGGGCTCCAACATTTCATAGGGCCCTAAACATGTAATGTTTGTTAAACTTTTAATAAATGTATGTGAAAATGTATATGTTTAATGATTTTAATTAATGATACATGCTTTTTAATTAATACAATTTAATTTAACTATTAAAAAGGAGCCGAGAAAAATTAAAATGGAAAAACGGAATTTGGAAAAAAATAAAACGGAATTTAGGAAAAAATAAAATGGATTTCATAGGACCCTAGCTATCCCTCAGCCTCGCCGCGAACCCCAGTTTGGCAACCACTGCTTTATTCTTTTAAATTGATACATTAATCGTGTTTATTATATATTTTTTTTATTAAAGTGGAAATCAGTTTACTAAACAATGTAAACTTGACTGACTGCTTCACTTCCACTTTAAAGGGATATTTATGTTGTTTATTATTTATTTTTATTTATACTATTTATAATTTTTGTGCAATTACTTGCCTGTCAGTTGAGTTTGTTGCAAAACATTTTGCAGTGTTTACATGTTGTTTATTACTGTATACATGTTATTAAAATAGATGTTTAATTTCATAAAGTACAAACTGATTTCAAAATGCACCTACTTTTTTGCATTTTCTGTTTTTCAGTTGAATAAAATACTATTTTTCCCTATATATTTCATCATTGAGGATTTCTTCTAAAAAGTCTAAAAATCTTGTCTCGTGAACCCAGTCTCGTGTCTCGTCTTGTCTCGTGGGATAAGTATCTCGTCACACCCCTACTCTGTAGTAGTTAAACATGAGATATAATTCATTTTGGGTAAATCTAACGGGCAGTCTTTGGTCTCAATCTATTATTTGTTCAGATGAAAGGATAGTACAACAAAGATATCGCTTTCCTCAGTGGACATTCAAACTAATGATATATTGTGAATGAGATTGAGCTGAATAATGAATGCTGTATTAGATGCAGGTAATCACACTCGCTCAGTCCATAATAATACTCGACTCTACATAATTAGCTTTTAATACAATAAACTTTCAATGAAGCAACTCAACGTTCCTTCATCACTAGTTCTAAAGTGATGTTTTAGTATGAATTAGTAACAGATCTTGGGCTCAGCTGTTAAACTGTACTGAGATTTGAATCCATGGCAGAAGGAAGTAGTTCCGCACAAAAGTTTTTAAAAACACTTTGTTGTTGTCTCTTTTTTTATTTACACACTTCTGCCATCGAACTGTTGTATAAACGCAATATCACACTCGTAGCCATGCGATATGGCTGTATATGAACACACTGTGATTACGAATGGTGCTGATATACAGCCATATTGCACTGCTACGAGTGTGATATTGCTTATATATATATATATATATATATATATATATACAGTATATATTATAAAAATAAAAAAAATCATCCAACATATTGCAGATAAGTTAAGCCATTTAAAGTAGCAAATTGGGGAATACAACACCATTCAAAAGCTTAAGCTATTGTTTAAAAATAAATTAAGGTTTATTCATCAAGGATGCATTAAATTTATCAAAAGTGACAATGAATACTTTGACAGTGTAACTATTTCAAATACAGGCTGTTCTTTTGAACTTTCTATTCATCAAAGAATCCTGAAATAATAAGCATTACAACTGTTTTCAACTGATAATAAAAATTATATTTAATTATAATAATTATATTTTAAATTGTAATAGTATTTCTCCATACTACTGTTATTACTATATTTTTGATCAAATTAACATAAGACACTTATGTTGAACAAAAGACTTCTTTCAAAAACAAACAAAAATATACTACAAACCCCAAACTTTGGAATGGTAGTGTAAATAATCAATTTACAGTTTCAAATAACTGCCACTTAGAGAAAAGTTTCTAGATCAAGGGTAGTAGGTTTGAACCCACAAACATTTTATTACCAAGCCCAGATCTATAACCACTAGGCTGCACCACCACATTCCCAGCAGACGGTTTTAAATATGTTTTAAACATGAATGAAGGAAAATGGCAGCAATGAACCTCATTGCCCAGGATTTCTTAGCTTGAACGAAAGTTTGGATGGCTCTATTTCAAAACAGAAATGCATCGGGTGAATATAAATCAGTGATCCATCTTGTAAACACACACCATCTTCCAAATTCAAAACACATTCCTCAGCACTACCTGACATCACATCCTACGGCTGTTTCTTCATCCCAGAGGCAGATGCTTTCAGATTTGAATTAAACAAAAAAAAAAAGCAGAGTGATTAATGAAACAAAATTCAATAGATTTGCAATTATACAAAAAACATTTATTTTTACACTGCTGAGCTACAGAGAAGCCAGTCATTTTAATATACACGATAAAAAATACCTACTTGCATTGCTAAAACAAAATAAAAAAATAGAAAAACAACTGTAAAAATGGACTTGCACCAAAATATAAGACCCTTTGTGTCTTATAATAAATGCAGTAATATAGTCAATTAGCCCCGATTAGTTGTTGTAATAAGATACTGAATGAATACTCTGGTGATGTTTAATTGGTGTTCTGTGTACAGGACCAATCCAAAACATAAAAATGGAAACAGACTGTAGACAGGCCAGATTGAGCATCTATCAAACACTGAATGATTACTGGAAAAAAAATTTTTTTTTAATTTACTGATAAGCAATAAATTATTGCAGGTTTCAGTTTTCATATGTCGGACATGAAAGGTCAGGTGACTTTACTGCAACAGAAATGTATGACAGCTGCAGGATCGTTTTTACATACAAGAATTATGAATTCAATGGAAAACATCTGGGCAAAGACAACCAAGAAGTTGAAATCAAAGAATCAACCATCAGATGAATGCATTTGAAACAGCTAGTCAAAACCGAACACAGAGATGACTGATACAATTATGTCATTATAAAGCTATATCCAGAATTTTCACTTTCTGAAAATGAGATAAACACCATCTATTCCAGTTGTCAGACAGTTAAAATCATCTGTTGCTCAACTAAAAACAGCACAACTTGTTACGTTTACATGTAGCACTGCCATTCACTATCAATCTGGCAACCTGAAGTGAAACAGCCCTGCCTTTTTTAGTGTCATTGCTTAGCTTTTTTGAGAATGGTTCCCACTGCAGAGATGACTGTGGTCTTGGTGCCGCTGGCTGTTGTTGTCACAGAGACGACTCTAGGGAGGGTGGCAGTGGTGGTGAGGAGGGCGGGTTGTGCCAGGGTCACCGGCACTGCTGAGTCCCACTTGCTCTTCCTCTTCTGAGCATCTGCTAGGTCATCAAACTCAGACTTACTATACTATAAACAAACATTAGTAAAGTGAAGGCTGTTGCCTATGGGTGTTTTCACACTTAAAGGGGCTATATGTAGAATTCAGAAACCCTTGCTGTTAGTGACACCGGTGATGGTAAAGTGTACTGCAGCCAGCAACTTATTTGGTCAAGCTTATACTCGTGCACATGAAACATAGAAGAGACTGAACGTGATTCAGTGCACCGATAGTCATGGATTTTCCCAGCACACAATCCTGAGAACTTCACATAAAAATCAGTCCACAGGCTTATATCACAGCCTAGGAAGTTGGGGAAAGTCACATTTTTTTAAGTTTCGTTACAAACTGTTCACACATTGTCAATAAAAAAAAAGGAATTAATAAATGTATATTTTGTATATATATCCCCTTTAAAGGGGTCATATGATGCTATTTTAAAGATCATTATTTTGTGTATTTGGTGTAACAGAATGTTGACATTATTGTAGGTCCTCTATGCCCCGCCTCTCTCAAACACATCGTTTTCAACAAAGCCCCCTCCTTTGACAAGCGCAGTCTGCTCTGATTGGCCAGCTGACCCAGTGCATTGGGATTGGCCGAACACCACACGCACGTGTCGGAAATGTAACGCCCCTTACCATAATCGCGAGGTTCAGCTTTCAAAGTAAATATCAAATATCATATTAGTTTTATCATCAGTTCAAGCCCGAAAGGGCAACAGAGTCGCGTGACAGACACAGTGATGATGCAGTACACAAGCCGCGGTTAAGACAGCTGACGTGCTATGATTTCTGACAGACAGTTCACTCTCCTGTGATGTGACCCTGCTCCCCTCACACACACACACACACACAACGCGTTTCTCTGTGCTGCACAAAATTCCGCATTTGAACAGTCAATAGCAAATACTTAAACTAATCACAAAACATACTTACAGTCGCTGATTCAGAAGCGCCAGATTGTCATAGCAAAGTCGGAATTGACCCTTTTTTTTTTTAAATAGCCTTTGTGCACAGCCATCCTTGTACTCTTCTAGGTTCCATAAAATGCGTTGCACAAATTCGAACATCTGTTCTGTTGTAAATAAATCTTAACCAATGATTCCTAATTGCATCTACTTCCGGAAGGCCAAATAAAGTGCTTTTGCTTTCGCACTGAAATACACAGCGTCTCCCTGACATGGCTGCATCAACACTACTGCTGTTCCTGAAACCACGCCTTCTTTCTTTGCGTGCACATTTGGGCGGCATTATGCTAATATTTCCACATAGTGACGTCAGTGGTGGAAAGAGTCCTGAAAAATATACTCAAGTAAAAGTACCATTACCTTCCAAAAAATGTAGTGTGAGTAGAGTAAAAGTACTTGTCCAAAAAAACTACTTGAGTAAGAGTAAAATAGTAGCCTATTTAAAAGTACTCGTGTCATGAGTATTGAGTAGTGAGTACTGAGCTGTGGATTCTACCCCCCCATAATAAACGCTGTACACCGTTACAATTTATAAATTTAAAAAACTTTGTACATTCTGTATTTCACATTATCTTGTTTGTCATAAAGAATGCAGAATATCTATCATCCAGCAGTTTTAATTTTGACTGCCAACTCTTTAAAATACATCAAAACATCACGGAAACAGTATTCAGTTGAAGAAAAGATGAAAGTTATTCTCAGTACAATCATCCCCATTTAAATCATAAAGTTTGAAAAAAATAGATTTAAAATCATGTGTAAGGCCACTGAGACAGCATGCTGTTGTTCCACATAAAATATTAACGTTTAGAACAGTGCAAATACAAACACCATGAGAAACACAGTTCAGCATTACACACCATGATATGGGTTAAAATGAGAGCCCATTTCTCCAAAACGATGCCAGTTTTAGCGTTTTGCAATAAAGAAATAAGAATAACTAAATTTGATCATTTGTTACAATTTTAACATAAATGCACATTGTTCTAGAAGGATGGCATCATGCCATACCTTTTACACATTTACTCGAATTGTTATGCTGATAATGATAATACAATTTGTAAGAGGAAAACTGCATTAAATAGCGATATTTCTGGGGAAACTTTTTCAAAGGAAAACACACACACCCACGCATGTCTCTTTGCTGAGCCACGGCGGTCTCGGTGAATCAGCAGCATCCACAACTGAATGGAACAAAAAGTGTTGAACTTGAAAATAGTTTATGTGCGAGTGCACTTGCTAAATGACAGCGAATTGTACAAAATTGATAAATTAATAAATAAAAAACCCGTTACGCAAGGGAGAGACGAGGCAGCGCAGATCGCGCGTCTCATAAGTGAGTGGGAATTTACCAAACGTGGCACTTGCGGGAGTTAACACTGTACGCAATACCCGCAACCTCACACCAAATTTCAGGCCGTGTAGATAGGCAAGCATATATACAAATCATTTAGTAAGCAGAAATTCAAAATTTACCTTAACATATTAAGTTTGAGGAAGATGCGACTGAATTGATGCTTGAAGAATGCACTTCCAGCAGCCATGATAAACAGTTGGCGGTTAAAGTTTTCTATGCACAATTTGATTTGACGAAAGTCACGAGGCCTATTACTATCTATCCAATCACGTTGAGGGGAAAATAGTGGAGTAAAAGTACCGATACATCATTTAAAATGTACTCAAGTAAAAGTAAAAGTACACAATTTTTAAACTACTCAAAGTACAATTACTGATAAAAAACTACTTAATTACTGTAATGTGAGTATTTGTAATTCGTTACTTCACACCCCTGAGTGACGTAGATATGTGGGGGTGTGTTAGAACGAGCCGTTTTAGGTAGGCTTGGTTGACTCTTAACCTTTATAAAGAATATCTCTTTGGATTTGAAACTTTAGTCTTTGCAACTTTACAGATCTTCTTTATGCACCAAGAGCTTGTAACACTCCAAAGAGAAAGGAAAACTTGAAATCGCATCATATGACCCCTTTAAGGTCTTTATAAAAGACCACATTATGTCACCCAAAATGTCCAAAAATTGACAAGAAATAAAAAAAGTGGGAAATGGAACAGATCTCATTTTAGTCCAATTTAGTTTTTGATTTTGTAAATTTGATAGGTTGTCAGTATACTTTTACCAAGCACTGTTGTTTTTATGGAACTGGTACCACTTTAATATTGTATTAAATATAATTACACTTAATATTTATTTACTTGAAAAAAAAGGCTAAATAATTTACATACAGAAAGATTAAATATACTATTAAAATATCTTATCAATATTAACCATTAAAATCCTGTTTCAATAATAATAATGAAAATTATTAACAGGCTACTATTATAAAGGAGTAATATAACTTATGCAGTGTACCTGTGGAAGAGGCAGTTGTTGTGTTTGTGGCCACAGCTGCTGAATTAGTAGTGGAGCCTTTTTTGGTGCCCGTCACAAACTCAATCTACAGACATATGGGTAAGAACACATATTAACTATCAGTAGTGTTGTGGCCCAGACAGTACAAATAAATGTTTTAATATTATTTTTATTTCTCTTTTTATAAGTGGAGTGCCTCAGGGCTCTAACTTTGGTCTTTTCCTTTTTAGCTTTTTCCAGCTTGTCCATCTCCACTTTCTGAGCTTTGGCTGTGGAGAGAACAGCACACAAATGGTTAACAGATATAGTCAATTCAATCCATATGAAATGTCAAACCTAATTTAAAGCTAAATTTACCTAGTGCCTCATAATATGAATCCTCTGACAAGCCATGAGGATCAAACATGTCCTGTGAAGAAGTAAACAAAAATATATATATTTTTGCAACAGACATGAATACAACCAGAGGCGGACTTAACCATTAGGCAAAGGTAGGCGACCGCCTTGGGCCCCCAAAAGCCAAGGGCAGCCTAAAATGCTTTTTATATGTGAGATGTAGAAAAATTAAAACTGAAAAAAAACTTAGGCTAATTTTGGAAAAATAAAACGGATTTCATAGGGCCCTACAAATATCATGCATCTGAAGCTATACTTTTAATACTAAGCAACAGTGCATATTATATAGGGCCTATTTTAATTCTTTTAAATGGCACTCACTCATTTTTGTGAAAGACCCAAGAAGGGCCACGCACAGTCACTTTCCACACAGGCACACTTCATGTTTGGTTGAAATAATCCTTAAGCATGTCAATTTATAATTTCCTTCAGTTTAATTTAAATGTGCAATTAAAATAAATAAAAAATAAATGTATATTTTAAAAGTTTAGAATTAGACAGCCTTGCCTTGTGTAGACAATTGCATAGTGAAAATTACCCCAACGCACCACCTAGTGTCCAACCTACACTAATACTATTATAACCTGTTTAAATGTGATGAAGGGATTTACAACATAAAATAAATCCTTTATTTATAACATGTACATGAGAAATCTAAAAGATTAGACACAACTATGGGGCACGGTCATGCAACAGTGAAAGGAACCTCAAGGTTGTAAATGTGTGAAATTGTATAGGGCCCCATTCCTGTATTTTCCCTGGGGCCCCCTAAATCACTAAATCCGCCCCTGAATACAACGTACAGTATTTATGTGGTATTAACGGGTAAGCATTACACCTACTTTTGGATAATTGGTTCCAAGTTCATCAATACCACAGAACTGGATAAGCTTCTCATAAATACTATAAACACAAAAACATGGTTAAGTTGCAAACAAATAAAACAATATCAATAGGTAATTTACTTCAGATTATGTCTGGTGCACGGTGGGTCAAACACTTGTTATCTCCAGACCTTGAGTTGCGGAACTCTTTCTTCTTTTGAATATGGCTGTTTGTATCAAAGTCTCCGTGAAGCTTCCTCTCGTAAAGTTTAAAGATATTTTCCTAGAAACAGAAAAGGGAGTCATTATTTTCCCCTTTCATTACTGATATTAAGTGCATGTATGATATTGCTAAATGAACAAACTCCATTTTAAGCCTATTTGAGTCCATTTTAAATGCAAAATGTGCAGTACAAAACATTGCCTCATCGCTCCAAGTGCTGTGAGACACTAAGAATGAATAAAGTCTTTGTGCGAGTGTGAGTTTCTAGAACTAGAAGGTGATTTTTGACAACCAGACTCCAAGAAGCACTTGGAGATGTGCCATTTTCAGCTCCTCAATCTGTTTTCCTTCACATTCCAAGTCGTCAAATAAATCAAAAAGTTGTTTGTTGACAGTTAAGACACTGATCTTAGTTCATTCGTACAAAATGTACAACTAGAAAGTTAGCAGGAAGACCAATTCAGATGTATAAGGGAATGAGGATCATGTCTTAACAGCGAAAAAAGCATAGCCGCAGGGACAGGACATTCATCACGACGTGGAAAAGCACAGCCTATCTAGCAGTACTAGGTTGTACTGTACTGTAGTGTGAAAACCACACCCATGTTCACCTGTCCCGACAGCTCACGAGAGAGAGAGAGCTACAGCAGGAAGTAGTATGACAATTAGGAATTTGACAAAAAATATAAATACATATTACTGCAATAAAACAAACCAAATAATTCGAATGAAATGCGTTTGAATATTACCTTGGCATCAACATGGTTTTGACATCACTGACCTCAAATGTTTGCACCTCTGGACATGTACTGACAATATGCAAGCTGCATGATTTAGGGCGAACTGCCAGTCCTTACCTCTGGGTGGGGCAAAACACCCACAACCTTCCACCCTCTCAAGCCCCCAGTGCCACACCCTGAGATAAAACATGCCAGGCAGGATCTGTGCATGTGGATTAAAGAGCTTGCCAAGAACTAAAACAATGAACCCATAAGATCTCTCCTTTTATGACTGTTGACAAGGAGCAGCAGTCCAATCAAAACAAAGCAGCTGAAAGAATGTTTTCGGCTGGTATATGGCAAAAAAAAAAAAAGAGCAGGAAACTGATACTGTTGATAAAAACATGTTTGCATTAAACAGTGCCCCTTTTTTTAAAAAAAGAATTTGATTCATGCTTTGAAACAAATAAAAATTATCAAATGCTACAGAAAATTCAGATGAGGGAATTTACCAAGATTGAACAGCACTGATCGCACTGTTTATTTAAATGCACAATTTATGTTATTTTAGCATCAGATTCACAAAAGTATTTATGCAAATTAGACTAGAATCTATCAGAAAACAAGATTTCAAGAAGTGCAGTCAAGATTTCTCTCATTGGAGCCCATGGCAGGAAGTCAAGAACATCTCAAACAGAATACAGCAACCATCTCACCTGCAGATGACTGGAACAACGCCCGGGAGGTTCAGGAGGAATTCTGATCTCATCAGGAGACATATTCCGAACCTTCTCTGAAAACTGTGCTGTGAAAAAGAAGAAAAAATACTCAAAGACAGCAAATACATGTATACTGTAATTTACTTTACAGCACAAAATGCTGCAATGTAGTAATGACAGTAAATCATATATATATTTAAATGTATCAAAATTATGCTTATAAATAAGCTTGCTTTTTATTGACAACATGACTAAAATACTCAGAACCATATAGCAACTACGTGGCAATGCCCTGGCATCCCTGCACAACACCACATCATAGCAGGTAGTTTGCATGGGCAAGAACCACTAGGTTTTCTTGAGAAAATGTAAAAATCTAGTTTGTTTTATGAGCATACTGTATGATTTACTGTTATGTTTCATTGAAATACAAAAAAAGTTTTACTTTTTACCTGTTTTATTTATTTTTTATAAAATAATGCAAGCTGATTTGTTTTTTCTATATGTTTAATATATATATATATAAACCACTAGGTTTTCTTGAGAAAATGTAAAAATCTAGTTTGTTTTATGAGCATACTGTATGATTTACTGTTATGTTTCATTGAAATACAAAAAAAGTTTTACTTTTTACCTGTTTTATTTATTTTTTATACAAGCTGACAAGCTGATTTGTTTTTTCTATATGTTTAATATATATATATATATATATATATATATATATATATATATACACACACACATATACATCAGTTTTCTTTTTTTATATAGATTTTTACACATTTGATACAGACAAAGCAGCGCACATTGCAAAAAAGCACACGATTAGAAATACATTTAAATAAATAAATAAACACATAAATCAAGCATGCCTAAAGAAAATACTTCTCCCATCAGCGGTATGAAGTTTCAAACACAAACATTCTGGATTCTGTATGCAACTTTAACCTCAAGCTATATTTCATTTTCACTTTTTTAGAATGACACCGATCTACTGCTTCAATTTCGTAAGCATTTGCAGAAACTATTTTTTTTTAAATTCCCTTAAACTAGAAGCATCTATCAACAGTCTTGGTTAGACGTCTCTGGAGCGAATAACCAAGAAATGGAATTTGTGGTTGCGTACACATGCAGCAGTGAACACTATTCAAACCATACTGGTTGGAACAGGCCACTGCTGAATTCTCTTTCACCTCACCTCCTCTCTTCTCAATCCCACACACCCTTCCTCCCCCATCTGCCTCTCTCACACCCCCTGGCTGCTGTTCTGGGCAGGTCTGAGGCAGTGACTGTGGCCCAAATCATGCCTCCGTTTGTTGAAACACATGACAGACACACACAAGCATGCACACAGAAGCAAGGAAGGTCTGGGTGGGGCCCTCTAGATGTGGCACTCTTCCCTAAGCAATGCACAGACACAAACATGTAAAAACAGGCCCTCTAGCGATGGAAACTTGCAGAGTTTCTTCAGAAAGGTCAAAGCATTTTTCAGTCAGAGCTGCCTTACGTAAACCGTGCATTTGAGAACAACCCTGTGGCAAAACAGATCATGCACACCTGCACTGTAGTTATGGTTAGAGATTTCAGACTAAGTATTAAACGTTGACGCCTAACTCCTCTATAAATAATACCTCAAATTGTGAGTTTAAGTGATCAGACTTATTTTTCACCTGGTAGATGTTAAAACAGACAAAAAAAACAACAACTTCCCATTCACTTTTTCAATGGCTTTGGTTCCATTAATTTCTCCCATAGGGATTTTAAAGTAGTCTTTGTTAAAACCTTGAACCAAACCAACCAGCTGAGGTGAATATAACATAAATTGAAGACAAAAAAGCACATTTACATTTATTAATTTAGCAGACACTTTTATACAAAGCAACTTACAAATAAGGCATTCAAGTGATTTATCCTAAAGAGGCAAATAAACACAAGAAGTGCTTGTAATACAGAGTTTCAGACACTGTTTAGAGTATTTAAAAATGGGAGAATAATAAGACTGTGTACTTAAAGGCTTTACTGAGGGAAAAATACAATCCCATGAAGCCTTGTGAATTACAATCAAAATAAAAAAAAGAAGTATTAAACTACTGATATAAAGATGTTATTTATATAGAAACAAAAACATGTTTACTGCAAAATACACAAATACACAAAAAGTCATTTGACAGCATATAGGGAAAACTGCATTAAGAGTGGGTATTAAAGAGTTATTTTTGCATAATTAGCTTGTTTTGATTTTCTGATTGGTGGAGATTTTTTTTTGCAGAAACATAGGTAATGTAGTTCCCTTTCAAGGGAACGTCGAACTGCATCCTCTAGGGGTCGCTATGGGGAACGCCTCGTCGTGACCCGTGTCTGAAGCATACATTGAAAAAACACCAAATGAATACAAATGAAGCGTGCATTTCCGTGGTAAGAGCGATCTATATTCCTATCGTTATGGCGAGCACTAGCAAAGCATTTAGAGGGTGTGTGTGCATCCGTGTCGTCGTTATTTGACAGCTGATGACACACACGATCTCTGCGTTGTTTGTTTGGGCAAAGAGCACGCACGCGATATCCTTGAGGGGGCAATCTGCGTTCATTGTGAGCGTATTTTAATGAAAAGCTCCGCTCTCGTTTGTCTCTCTTTTCGAGGAAAGGGGGGCAGCCATCTGCTTCCCGCGGCTCAGGACCCACCGCTGCTGAGGCACGGAGGAGGATGGGCTCGTGGGGATCGCAGGTGGATCCGGCTGATGAGTTTAAAAAGGGGTTTTCCCTCTTGTGCTTGTTGGCTGTGGACGAGAGTAAGCTGCTGGAGGATGATGTTATTCCTTTAACATCGTTTGATCCGGGGGCCGGTGCTTTGCTGCTGGTCTAAGCCCGAACAGCATAGGGGTCCTGGTCCATCTCGGTCTGAGGATCAGAGACAGCCACAGAAGGCTAGTGTCGCGGCTCGTGCTCCTCCCCCCCCCGCGGGGAGGGGTGGAAGGAATCGGGGGGCAAGGGAGGTAGGCAAGACCTAGGGATGTGATCCAGACAAGGCATCAGCTCTTTCGTCCGGATCAGAGTGATACTTGAGTATCTACTCGTTTCCTTCGGTGGTCTTACATCTGCCCTTAGCTCCTAATTCCCCTATAACCACCAGCTCTCCACCTGACCGAGGTTAGGTAGGAATTTTCCTGCATTTCCGTCTCCTATGCTGGACCTATATGTTTAGTTGGTTCTATGGCTTCATAGTGACCACCTTGCTGGTGGTCTGGACTAGAGGCTTCTTTGAGTCGCCTCTTGAAC